GTTCATCCTTGGCGCTTGGCGCTTTCTCCCACGTCCAGCCTTTAGAGCAGGATGTGTCCACGGGAGTACGGAAGCGCGCATGGGAACGACACCTTTGGGCCATCTGACTCACTGATATTCCTCATGTTCTTCCAGATCGGAGGATGAATATATCATGCGTAGATATGAAATCGCCTTCTACATCCATGGGTATCATGAAGCTGGTATGAACATTCGATTATCAGGTGTTAAACCAAAAACTCGAGAAACCTCCGCGGCCACCAGGGCCAGCATTGAAAGTGGCTCCAGCATGGTGGGACTGAAGCCCGGCTACCAGGACCGGTCTAGAAGCCGCTGCGAAACAGGGTCGAGGTGAGTCGAAGATGCAGCGGGCGATCCTGGAAAGAAGACCTTGTCATTTAGTCGTAGCAGCAAAGAAATTGCAAACGTTTCGTTTCGTGAGAGCGGCAAAGTCTCACCTATTGGGCCTATCGAACCGCCCTCTTCGAAGGCAGCGAGGCGGATCGCTTCGTCCGTATGTTCACCTGAAGCTCCTGCAAATCATCTGTGAGCGCGGGATTCACGGTCCACGAGCCCTCGACAATCCTAAAAGGAGAATCGAGGGCCAGCGAGCAGTGCACCTCGACGGTGTTCTGCTGAAAGGGAGCATTCGTTGAGCGCTGCAGCAGCTCGTTAAACAGGATGGTGCGCAAAGGGATAGTCGTGAGCGGCAGGAATCAGGGCCACACGCCGAGTTGGTGCTATTGCGACCGGCGACGACGCCATTGTCGCGAATGAGGATGTGATTAGGTCACGATGGGGGGCGCGGGCGTCGGGCTGCTGCTGGCTGTTGCTGCGGAGAGCGCAGAGGCTGGTGCTATATTACCATGTAATGTAGGACAGCCGTAGTCTCCAGTTGCAATCCCACTCCATCCAAGTCTTTCAGTAGAGCGTTCGCAAAGTGCACCCCGTCAGCGTCTTCGATGACTTTAGAAGGAGAAGTACACTTGTCTATAGAGCACTGCAGGCAAGTCTCCAAAAATCTCGCATTTCAAAGCCAACGGATGCAAACTGACAGGACTCGCAGGATGACCACATTTGAACATAACAACTCAGGGGCCTTGGAAAACAGCAGCACTACGGCGTATAGCGTTAACAGCGAAATTGAGAGGCTCGCCGCACCACTCATATAGATACTCGGATGGTCAATCTCGAAGTGTGCGTCTGAATATTTATTACCCGCCATCTTTAAAAAGGTGCTGAGCATGGCGGGAGAAGGCAAGCAGGTATCACACTCTGGCTCAACATGTTAACGACTTGAGGGTCTGTGTTTGGCACTCCCCACGGCTCTTGCAAGAAAGATGCGGTGTTGATGTGGGTGTCTCTCCCGCTAGCGAGGGCGTAGAGAATCCCAATGTCTCCTAGCTATACAGTCCGTCGCGGAATCGGATCTAGCGACCACAGTACCCCAGCTATGGTATGTGTGCCGAGTGTGACGTGGAATGATTCTATCCTTTAGTGAGTTTTACCCGTCCCTGCCAAGTAAATCCGTCTAGGCACCACCGTAGTCCGTCACTGGTTACCGTGAACCTCGCTTGGGATAACTGGTGCTCCACTATCTGCCACTGGTTTTACGCCGACTCTGTTGAATCCTGCTCCATCTTCCATGGATTCTCCGCGAGTGCATTTCTCCTAGCCACATGGTCGTCTTCCCAGGGGTACGAGTTGTGGCCAAACAGCTGTTCTTTTTGATGTTGATAGCTTCGAAGCTGGAATCCAAATTCTCGAGACGCTCATGCATGTTGTTTAGCTGAGAGCTGCGTATGAACTTGTCCAAGAAGATCTCAGTTTGAAGGCAGGGCTTGGGACGCCTAGTCATCACATCAGAAGCCATACAAATGTTTCCGAAGACGGGCGGGGTTGAGCTTGGCACCAGCAGCCGCTAGCGGCCCATCATCATCCTCACTCTCTGCGAGGTACTCATCCTGGGCGAAGGAAATGTCGTCAACGGCAATGTGCATTCCAGGTGTATGATTTGGCGCTACTGCGCACGATGCGGCGACCGGTCGCGCCTCAACCACGGCCGGCACGTCGAGTAGCTTCTTGGGTACCTCGAAAACATCAGCGTGTTTGAACCCGCGCAGATTGGTGAAACGCTCATCAGCTTCAACTCAGTCGGCGGGGCAACGTGGGGATTGACGTATGTCTGCGCCCGGAGGATGTCGCGGCGCAGGACGCACTCGACGAATGCTTCCGCACGCTGCAGGTGCATCTCGATGTGCCTCCGGAGCACAGCGCAGGAAGGCTGAAGGCTAAATCTCAAGCGGTCGAAGAGCTATTTCACCGACATCTGGGCATCCAGGTAAAGGGCGGGGCGAAGTGCGCCGCTCGCGTCGCTTCGTGAGACTCCTCAACGCCACCGAGAGGCTGCGAAGACGTGCGCAACCAGCCTCAGTGGCTCTCCGCTCCACATGCATCTTACTCGCGCTGTAACTGGACGGCGGGTCGAGCTGCGTGTGTCCGCAGCAAGCGCAGTTGCGCAGCGCGTCCCGAGCTGCGGCGTGCTCCGGCCGCAGACTAGGTTCGCCCGCTTCGAAGTTGCGCTAGCCGAGTTGATGCTGTTCAGCGTTTCGCGTACGATGCTGATCAGCGCGCCTTCGGAGGAATTGTCGAGATGTGCATGCTTGGGCGCGCCTGGCGCCCTACGGCAAATCATCAGCAACGACCAGTCTGCACAGGTGTCGCCGCTGTCGCTGCATGCAAGTTCTTCTTTGTCATGCTTATGATCGCGATGAAATAGTATATACACATTATTGCAAGGCTTATTGTTAGGGTTAGGGTCGTTCCATCAAGACAGAACACTAGACTCTTCTCACCGTCGCTCGGCCCGAACGGTCCTTCCTATCTAGGCACCCGTCTATACTTTAAACCGATTCAGGCCCTCGATCAGTCCTTGGGATGGCGGTCTACGACCTTGCCCAGTCACGTCCCACTCGCCGCTTCCACTGCCGCTAATACTTGTGCGGGGCTGAGGAGGGAATGCTATACGTCCGTCCCACGTCTGGCAGGCTGACACGCGCTGACTGAAGGGCACGGGCGTTTTGTTGCTGCTGCTTGGTGTGTGTTGTGTTTCTGGCGCGATGCCGGGCCTCGCAACGCCGTCGACATCAAAGCCGGTGGCGGCTGCTTCGGCAGAGACGACATGCCGCAACGAGCAAGAGTCACGATGGACGCGCTATGGCTCAAGTGCATTTTCGCGTGGCATGAAGATCTCCGACTGGGCGTCCGGGTATGCAAACGCTGCCAGCGCCAAGCTCGGCGGCGAGCGCTTTTGGCCCAGGAGTGGCGACTTTGAGTTGGAGATTGAAAAGTGCGAGCGCATTCTGCGCTGCTTTACCGTCGAGGGCATTGAGTCGGAGGAGGGTGCGGAGGAGGAGGTCGCCACACCTGGCGCAGCGCCCGAGGCTCGGACGGAGACGCACTTGGAAAAAGTCAAGCGCAAAGTCATTCGTAAGGTGAAGTGTGTCGCTGGTATGTGTCGATTGAGATCACTTGTGCTGACCGCCAGCTCGTTTGCCTACAGATCCCACCCGCGCTGGTGGCCCGTGCGCAGGGCATCGCAATCTACACTTCGATGCGTTCGGGGATCGCTCCGCTGGGCGGCAGCGGCGGTTCAGGCCTCGTGATGGGGCGCCTGCCCGATGGGAGTTGGTCGTCACCGTCGTTCATCACCCCGCAAAATTTTGCCGTTGGAATGCTCATCGGGTTGGATATTTTCGACGTCGTCTTGCTGATCAACAGCAAGGAGGCGATGGAGGGCTTCAAGTCGCATAAGTTTACCTTGGGTGCCGAGACGGCCATCGCGACAGGGCCGATGGGCGCGGGAATGAGCATGGAGACGGGGCTCAAGGGCACCAAGGTGATCCCGCCGATTTTTTCCTACGTCAAGAGCCGCGGACTCTACGCCGGCGTGGAGATCATGGGCCAGGCGTTCCTCACGCGCTTTGACGAAAACGAGCGGGTCTACCACTGGCCAGGCATCGCGGGCAGGGACATTCTCGAGGGTAAGGTGCGCGTCCCCGCCGTCGTCGCGCCGCTGCACCACGCACTGCATGAAGCCGAGACAGGCAAGGCGCAGGGCATGCCCGGTGGCAGACCCAACGGCGTTGTCGTTCCCGAGGAGCTCGACACAACCCCGCTGCTGGCCCGACTGATCCCACGCGCGCGCAAGCGCGTGCCCCCGCCGCTGCTTTCCGAAAGTGCCATCATGCACGAAGAGGCCAAGGCGGGGCGCTCCTCGTCGCTCGACTCGCTGCCGCCCGAGCCGCTGCGAGCAGCTCCTGCGGCGGAGGAGGCCGCAGAGGAGGGAGAAGGGATGGAGCTGCAAGAAGGTGAGCGGCTGCATCTTCCACCGACACCCGAGCAGCTCGCATGGATGGAGCAAGCCGGTATCAAAGATGAGGAGGACCTTAGATGGGAACAGAGAGAGCGCGAGGAGGTCTGGGCGTTGCCAAAGCCGCCAGTGCATCCGGACGTGAATAAGTATTGGAGCGAAAAGGCGCACGCGGGCATGCCACCAGAGCATGCACAAGTCGCGCCGGCGCCGGCGACGTTTGACGAGCAGCGTGCGCCTAAGCAAATGTCCACCGCCGACATTCTCACCGCCAGCGCGTCTATCTCGACCATCACACCAGCCGGTCCCGCTCTCGATATCGAAGAGCAGGACGTGCCGCCGGTCGCCAACTTGGACAACCTGACCAGCTGCGAGTCTGAGATGCCCCCTTACGACAGCGCGCGCTCCGAGTCCGACTTTTCCATGTCATCTGCGTCTCATGCGGCCACCTCTTCGCGGCACGAGACGGACGACGAGCAGGATGTCTCAGCCGCGCTCGACAAGCACCTATCCTACTTACCCAGCTTGCAGATGCCCATGCAGGCCATCGCAAACAACGCATCACGAGAGAACAAGGTAGCCCCGGAAACGGGGGGCGACGAGCAAGCCGCTGGAGCAGACGTAGGAGCTGCGTCGCCCGGTGAAGAGCAAGATGCTGTAGCAAGGCGTGCAGGTGTGCCGCCGCAAAATGCAGTATCGGCCGGTGTTGAGCAGGTCGCTGCGGAGGCCGCACAAGCACTCACAGCGGGCAGTGGCGAGGCTGCTGCCAAGCTCCAGGCCAGCCCCGAGATCCGCGTGGCACAACTGCCAGAGGCTGAGCGCTCCTTGTTCGAAACGAGCAAGCCTCCTCTCTCCCTCGCGTCTGAGGTTGTAGGGGCACCACCACCCTCGTCATCACCCTCGCCCTTGCTTTCGCCGCGCTCTCCGCGCTCACCCTTGCTCGCCGAAGCCGGATCAGCACTCGGCCGCTCCAGCTCCGTTCGTTCCATGCTCAGCATCGACTCAGCCTCCGGACGTACGCCGGGAAGCATCACGCCGCCCGCGCGCCCCAGCCGCGCTGCGAGGCCGCCGCGCGCGGCAGCCCGTGCCCTGGCCGGCGCGCTCGACTCCAGCCTATCGGTTGACGGTCCCGCAGAACCGGAAGAGGCCACAACCGAGCAGCATTAGACGTTTTCCATCCCATTTGTAGCATACATGCAATACAAGCTACATGCAGCACAACTAGATGCATACCAGCTATGGGTTGGTTAGGATTACCGGTTGGGAGGCGCAATGAAAGCCTACCGAAGGATAGCGCGCGTGCGACTGGTTCACCTGCCATCCTCTTCGCACAGCACGATCAAAGTGGAGGCGGCAGCGCATCAAGAGGGAGGAGCCTGCACTTGCAGGAATGAACGGAGTTTATCAAGAGCCTTGTATCGATGAGAGAGCTGAGCAAGCGCAGGGGAACAGTCAGCATGGGTGGGTGGCCTTCGTCGGATCGCCACTGACCGAGTTCTTTTGCACGGGCTCCATCTCCGCATAGCTGCAAGAACATCGAGCGCGGGTCAAGAGTTTATTCTCGTATTTTGTTCAAGAGGAGAGCACCGACTCACGTTTTCCCGGTCGCTTCTATCTCGAGGATTGGGTCCCATCCAAAGTTCTTTGGGCCGCGGGCTGGCACGATCGTGCCTCTGGTCCGCCCCTCGAACAATTTGATCTCCGTTTCCCCTTCAAACTGCAGCGCGAACGTGCACACAGCGTGCGCGCTCTTGTCCTCGAACCCAGCGAGCATCTTGTTTAGCCCGTCATGACCAAGCTCCCGGAGAAAGTCCTTGATGTACACTCCGGGAAGGACGTCGTTGAAAGCACCAAACGTGAGCGCAGTGTCCTCCGTGATCACAGCTCGTCGACGGTCAGATCGTGCGGCTGTCTCAGGCGCAGAAAACAGCAGCGAGGCGGCACTCTTGCACTTGGCTGTCGCCACCTCTTGCGTAGTGCCCTGGATTTCCGGCACCTCCAGGGCTTGCGACACCAGTTCAAATGCGGCTGACGAGGAGGCAGACAGAATCTCGCGCACCTCCCGTAGCTTGTTCGCGTTCCCCGTGACGAACGTGATCTCCAGCAACGGCGTAGCCATCTTGGAGATTATCCCATGCAGTGACATGCGGCATCGACCGCAGGCACGCATCGAAGGCAGCACATACAGACGAGGACCAATGAGTTCCTGATGGGAGTAAAGGTAGTGGAGTATGTGGATCGGTAACTTTTCTCAAGAAAGTCGCCGACGTCGCAAATTTTTTGAGCGATCGCGCCTCATGCACATGCATACACACTTCGTTTGCGGCTACTTGAGAGCCCGGCTCGGTGCGGGTCCTTGCTGGCATCGAGGAAGCAGATTGCGGATATCGGAAAGGAGGCAAGGTGATTCCAAGATGGCTTCATCATTCGCAGAAGCGGCCGCCAAAGCCGCTGCTCTGTCGGCTCCGCCATCTGGGGAGCACGATCTGGCGGCCATTGGCTCCAACACAGACGAAGGTAGGTCGTCCGATGTCACCGCGCAAGTGGATGCACTCAACACCCAGTCGCAAGGGCAGGCGTTCTGGCCATCTGCACATGCTACCTCTTCAACAGAGCCATCCGTAGATCACCGCATCAAGCATCTCATCCTCGATGCGTCGCCTCTTCTCACGCAAGCGCCCGTGCAAGCATTGAAGGCGCAGCGCATCTACATTCCCCCGCAGGTCGTCGCCGAGCTGCGGGATCCGAAGGCACGAGCGCACCTCGACTGGCTTAAGCTCAGTGGGCAGGAGGTCGTCATCAGGGAAGGAGGGCCTGAAGCGATGCTGAAAGGTGAGCTGGCAGGACCGCTCCCAACCGCATCGCTTGTCGCTCACCCGTGCATTGCCTGCATTTGGCAGTTATCGCGTTTGCGAAAAAGACGGGAGACTACGCGGTCCTGTCGCATGCGGACTTGTCTGTCTTGGCGCTGACGTACGCACTTGAGGCCGAGGAGCACGGAACGTGGCGCATTCGAGACGAGATCGGGGGGGCGACTGGGCAGCAAAAGCACGAAGCGGAAAAGGTTGAGCAGCTGCGAAAGGAGGGAAAGCTTCCACCGGCGAGAGAGGGTAAGAGCCACGGGAAAGGAAAAGGAAAGCGGGCCGAGGCAGAGACAAGAAATCCCGCAACGGAAAGCCATGTGCCAGCCGCTTCTCAGGAAGCAGCGCCGGAGCCAGAGACAACTCAGCCTCCGCCCGCGGACGCAGCAGATCGCGTACATTCCTCATCCAAAGACTGCATCGCAGCTGGGTATGACACTGGCGAAGCCAATCAAGCGACAGGACCCTCAAATGCCACTGATGTTGCGGAAGAGGACCCTAGCGACGAGGAAGACGATGGTGGCGAATGGATCAATGCAGAAAACCTGACAGAGCACCGAAACCTGGCGCTAGGAATTGTGACGCAAGAGTCCAAGTTGTCTAAGGACGAAGCGCAGCGCTTGAACGCTGGAGAGGAGCCGGCGTCGGCCAACAGTAAGGGCAGGAGCAAAGCTAAGAAGCCACCGCGGCCGATGAGCGTCGCATGCATCACCTCGGACTATGCGGTGCAGAACGTCATGCTCCAGATGGGTCTCGCCCTGATCAGCATGTCTGGGCAGCGCATCACGCAGGTCAAGAGCTGGGTTCTCAGATGTCATGCCTGCACAAAGTGAGCCTATTCCGAACGACATATAAAAGGGCTCCTTCCACTGATCAACTGATATTTGCGATGTGCAGAATCTGCAAGGATCAGGAGCGAAAGTTCTGCCCCTCGTGCGGCAATCCAACACTGCTTCGCACGTCGGTTACGTCGATGGCGCCTGGCGCGGGTGTCGGCTCGTCTGCGGTCTCTGGCAGTGCTGCCTCCATGGGCCTCCAGGTCCACCTCAAGCAGCACTTTCAGTACAAGAACCGCGGGACGGTCTATCCGCTGCCGGCGCCCAAGCCATCTTCATCGTCGGCACTCAAGCAGCAGCCGGCACGCGGCGGGGTAAAGCACAAGCCCGTGCCGATCCTGCGCGAAGACCAAGTCGAGTGGCAGCGTGCGGTCGCACACGAAAAGGTGCGCAAGGAAAAGCAGGAGAGGGCAATGCTCAAGGCGATCGAGAAGAGCGGAGGCAGGAAGGACGCCTTTAGTGCCCGATTTGACGACCCAGACTGGATGCCAGACATGCTCTTAACTAGCGGGAAAGGTCGTCGCGCCGCGGGCGACGGACTCCCAGCGCTTGGCCTCGGGCGCAAGAACCCCAACGAGCGCAAAGGACCCCGGAGATGAGATGATTTCCTGTACTTTTGCATTTGTTCACATACACCTCGTATTGCAGCAACTGAGGTCTTACAGGACAGCAAAGGTGTTTGGGGTGTACCGCTTCGTGTTGTACACACTCTTGCCAGCCTGTAGAAGTGCAACGCACGCGGGCATGGTCAGTCACATGGTCAGTCACTCGATCTCGAGAGCGGCGATGCACCTCCCAACCTGGAACGTCCTTCATGATCTCCTTCTCCCGTGAGAGCTGCGCCTGCTCGCGTCGGTAGGTATCCCGGTCTGCTTCAGCGAGAAGCATAGGCACAAGGTGAATACGCGACCAGGCCCGCTCGCGCTTGAGCTCTCTGAAGAGTGTGCAAAGTCGTCAGCTAGGAAAGGTTTCAGCGCATCCCCGCGATACCGCTCACCTCTGCTCAAGGTTTCCCTGGCCAACTCGGTAGAAGCCCCAGGCGCATATGGCAAGGACGCCGCCAAAGATCGCAATGCCGCCTGGTCCACGCGCTGGAAGATTTCGCTTGTAGCGGATCGGCGCGTAGCCGCCCTGCGGCGGCAAGTCTCTGCGATCAGCGCACAGGCAGGCATACCGGGTCGGCAAAGGTCGAGGCGATGCAGCGATAGGAGAGGGGAGGCAAGGCAGGCTTGATCAGCGTCGAATTTGCACACACTGGGCTGTTCCCTGCAATTCCTCACTGCTTGAAAGAGACTACGTCCGTGAGCAGCAATAACAGGAAGCCGTGGGAAGGGGGTCAATGTTCGTGCGTGCATATGGCGGTTCGCTCGGGTCTATCCGCGCCGTCTGCACACCCAGACCTCGTGCGCCTGACCAGCCGCTGCTTTTACTCACATCCGCCACTCATGACTGTCTACCTGCCCGATTGCTTTCGAGGGGACGAGTTGCGCCTGGCAACGTCAACGAAGAGGACGTTTAGTATAGCTATGGGACATCGAAGACAGGACGAGGAGTCAATGAGCCTTCGCCAGCAGCGGAGTGGTCACGTGATAGAAATTTTCCTCCCCTGAACACAGAACCTTGTCTCCAAACTATCTTTCCCTCTTGCTTCTTCCCAGCACTTGCTACAATACGCAAGCACGGTCAAGAATAGGCAGGCAACATGTCGCAGGTGGTAGGAAATGTGAGTGCTCTTTTTATGCGAGCTGCGAAGAACACCCGCTGATGTGTGCTTTGCGCGAACTTGCAGACTGCCCTTCTCTTTACACGGTCATGGCATCAGGTCTCGGCGCGCTCCCGCGTGCTCGGGCCATTGGCCGTGAGCATCGCGACAACGTTGATGGGCAAGCATAAGCCGCACTATGACCCTTCTGTCGACGCGTTTGGAGACTACGTTGTCGTCACGAATGCCCGCGATGTCGTCCTGACCGGGCGAAAAGAAGAGCAGAAAAAGTACTATAGGCACTCGATGTATCCCGGAGGGCTCAAGGTCACCGGCGTCAAGGAGCTTCGCGAGACAAAGCCAGAGGAGGTGTGTTTTTCCGTTCGACAGAAGGGGGCGTAGGCGCTAGCTCAACTCGCTTGCTCTACCACAGATCATCAGAGAGGCGGTCGCAGGGATGCTGCCCAAGAACACCCTGCGAGATCGCCGGCTGGAGCGCCTCAAAGTTTTTCCAGACGACGCGCACCCATACACTCAAAAGTGAGCCCGCTTTCTGCGCTTTCCCTCGCAGCTTGTGATGCTGAAAGCTCTATTCGCTACCTGTAACAGCATAACCAAGCGCTATGACTTGCCGGCAAAGGCAGCAGCACATGCAACCCAGCCTTCCGGTGCGCCATCACTCCGCACTCTCGGGCGCCCGACCTCCTAGCACTGCGTCTGCTTGCTGCGCACATACTGTATTTGTACCGCTCTACTGATCGCTTACCCATTGCAACTTTTTGCAAGCCGAGCATCTTACTAACTCAGACCTTTCGAAAAGAGAAAAAAAACTTCCCAGCAGGCTTGTCGCCCGCACGACAGCCTTCTGTCACTCGTGTCGGGCCAAAGCTGAGGGCTGGGATAGATGGACTGCCTCTACATCTGAACGCATCGAGCGCCCTGCTTTCGCCACTTACTCTTCAGGCGACCGGCGCAAGGTGATGTCTGTTTTGTTCCAGAAGGCGACAAGCGTACGTCAGACTTTGCAGCGCAGGGACGAGCTTTACGCTTTGCTTTAAATCGGCAGCCTTGTACACTCCACGCCGCGACACGGATGGAATGGGCTCCAGACGGGAGGCTTCCAATATCCTGCATGATATTCTATTCCCACACTAGATGGATTCCCACTATGTCGCCATTTGATGTGAAAGGCACAGTAAGCCGCTGCAACGCTCGATTCAAGGTAGACCTGCGCAATGCTGCCTGCTTTGGGGACCTTCTCGCTGGGCGCTGCGTCTGTCATGGACTTGAACATGCCTTGCTTCTCTTCCTCGGCCATGTACCAGAGCGATGTAGCAACAGGTCCCGCTACGGCGCAATTGAAGCGGATGCGCAGGTCGTCCAACGTGGCGAGGCTGACTACCAGTCTTCTCCTGAGGCCTTCGGCGCCGGTCCCGAAGCCGTTGTCGATGCTCAAGCCGGGGGTGGGCTTGTGGCTGACGCTTCCTTTAGTAACTGTCAGCGAGCTGTCGTGTGCCCAATAGTCGAGCGCGAAGCACGCGGTCGGGATCACGCCAAAGAAGCGCACCTCAACCGTTTCAACAACCGAAGTATAGCCAAACTCCCAAAGCGGCTTTATGGCCAGGTCATCGCCGCCGTTTAGATGACGGGGTCACCCTTGCCTTTTCACGATGCCGCGACAGACCGTCGAGTAGTTTGCGCAGGTTCCACTCTGTCCGTGAGCCGACCTTCAGGTGCGCGCCGGGTCGCCATTGTTCTGCTAGCTCCGTTCCGACAGCCGCTGGACCATCGCGTCAACCTTCGCTTGCCAGGAGAACCCGGCAAAGACGCCAGCGGCCTCTTCAATCAGCGTACCCGAGGTGCACCGGAAAGTGCATGACGTGACGCCGATTGTGAACACGCGCGAGCCGTTGAGAAGGGCAATGCACTTGGGTTGTGTGGTCATTCTCATAGACGCTTGTCCAACAGCACTCGTACGGAGAAACAGACATCATGTTCGTAGGCGGTCAGGCGAGGTAGGCTTGCGTCGACACAGAACTGACTTTCCGGACGCATTATATATATAAATATAGACGCCTGTCTCTCGTCATAAAGCGGAAGATCATGCTCGCCCATGCTGGTCCACGGCGCCCCCTATTAGCTCGACGAGGGTGTGATCTACAGCACGTCAGCACGCTGCCATATCAACGAGCTATCACCGAAGAGCGCGGACGTAGGGATCTGGGAAGAGACGATTCCAGGACCACCATAGATGCAGGATGGTGCAAGCTTCAGCCAACACGAGCCCGACGCTTGATATCATTAATAGCATTCGCAGAGTGTCTCCCTTGTCGTGTCGATCTTGCCGTGAGATTTGGAACCTACAGACTGCCATGGCGAAAGCCTAATGAGCGAACGAAGGGAGCGGGAAATCGACATTGCTTCGGAATTGGAATATAAACTGTGCTCAATGAATAAGCGCTCATTATAATCAGAACATGTGCTAAGTCGTTTCGACAACCGGGGTGTGCTGCAATGAAACGACATCGGCTGGGACCCAGGGCCGAAATCTAAGGGAATCCATGCACGTCATCGACAACGCCCGACCTTCTGAGAGTTTCAGCCCGTCGATCAAAGCCGCAACCTATGCACAATGTCTACTTCCAGCACTGCTTGCCTTTATGGGCCTGCATTGAGACCGACCATATAATCTGGCTGCGTGCTATTGAGTGTTTACAAAGCTCTGCCACTCTTCGGCATTACTGGATGGCCCAGGTCAATGCAAGGCTTCTTTCTTTTTGGGCTCATCGTACCGCTACTTTGTTTCTTTTCTGGGGATGCACTTGGGCTAGCGATCAACACGATTTTGGTTGGAGATCATGGTCATTGCAAAGAAAAGGCACTTTGAGTGGAGGGATTGCGCACCAGAACTGCAGACAGGCGCTGCCCAAGCGTTGGTTAGCTTGCCATGGGCTGGTATAGCACGTCGAGGCTTTAAGGAGGAGAGCGCACCGTCGAATTCTTGGTAGGACCCCCTCTCCCCCTTTGGAACATCGACCATCTGTCATGGATGTGGTGGCCCTTGGCCCCTCGTCGCTCGACGAAGCGATCGATCCTGCTCCACAGCATGACTCGTGCCTGTGTTCGGAGGGACAACAGGCTTCCACGGTACCTGACGGGCCTCTGACAGTCACTGCTGACGCAGAAACGACGACAGCGGCAGTCGTAGGAGATCTGCCCATGGACACATCCATCTCCATGCTTAAGCGCCGGACACATCCCGAGCAGGCGACGGAGAACGCGCTCGGACAAAACTCTGGTGCTGGAGCCGATGCCGCTGATGACGCTGTGGCCCCCCGCAACGATGGGTGGCTTGAGTCGTTTCTAGCAAAGCAGGGCGGTGTATCTACAGACGCCGGATTCAAGCAGCAGGCCGAAGATCGGGAGGCCCAAGAAGGAGGAGACGTGCTCCCAGAGGCAGAGGCTGACGCATCGATAGACGCTGTCGAAGGAGAGCAGCCTCCAATCAGTCCCAGCCAGGCCGCGGAGAAGCTGCGAGCAGCGCTCTCAACGCCCACAACTCCCCCTTCTCTGCCTCAGAATCTAGCACCTGAAGGAATCGAAGCAGGTGCTGGCCAGGGTGGCAAAGGGACTGCGCCGGCCAGCGGCAGGAGCGCAGAGGTCATTGACAGTCGGACAACGGCTCCGCGGCGAACGAGCTTTCTTTCCTCCGTTTTTGAAGAGGAAGAGGCCGAGGAAAGAGACGAAGAAGACGAGATTGAGCCGTCGCTCAAGTACGAAAAGCTCAAGGGTGGGGCAGCAGACGTGCTCAGGAAGGACACTGCTTCCGCGATGGCCGTGTCGGATCGCTTCCTCGCACTCGGCACGCATGCGGGCATGATCTACATTTTGGACATCGAAGGCAACCTCGTCAAGGGCTTTCGTACACATACAGCCAGCATTCTCGCGCTCGATATCGACAATACCTCGGAATTTGTCGCCAGCGCAGGAATGGATGGTGAGTGTCAGCTCGCAGCTCGCCTGCATTTCACACTGACACTTGCGTCTGCCGCAGGTCTTGTTTCCATCTCGGCGCTGTCGACGTCCGAGCAGTATGTGTTCGACTTTCGACGACCGATGCGCTGCGTTGCACTCGAGCCCAACTTTGGGCGCAAGTCGACGCGCGCCTTTGTCTGCGGTGGCATGGCCGGTGCGCTCCTGCAGCGCGAGAAGAGTTGGTTCGGACACAAAGAGGTCGTGCTACACGCTGGCGAGGGTCCCATTTGGAATGTGCAATGGAAGGGCAACCTGATCGCTTGGGCAAACGACCGTGGCGTCCGCATCTACGACAACAACACTAAGCAGCGCATCACATTCATCACACCGCCGTCATCCGAAGTGCGCGCCGACATGAATCGTTGCAGTCTGTTCTGGAAGGACGCTCGCACTCTCTTGATCGCATGGGCGGACCACATCAAGATTGCAAAAGTCAAGGAGCGCACACAAGTAGCACCTGGCGGAGGCGCGCCTGTCACCCTAGGCACGGCAGCCTCGTCTTCCCAGCTGTACGTCGAAATGGTCGCCATCTACCAGCTTGACACCGTCATCATCAGCATCGCGCCGTATGGGAACGATTTTCTCGTGCTGGTGCACATTACTGCAGATGACGACGACCCACGCGAGACGGCGTCGGAGGAGGAGTGCCGCTTCAAGCGCAGAGAAGCCCTGCCGCCTGAGCTGCGCATCATCAGCGGCGATGGCGAAGAGCTCAGCAGCGACATGCTGTCCGTCTCGAACTGCGCGCGCTACCAGTGCAACGACTACTTGCTCGTCCCAGCTGCCGATGCTCTCACTACTAAGGACCCCGAGCAGCGCTCTTTTTTCGTCGTGACGCCGACCGACATCATAATTGCTCGCCCTCGCACCCGCAAGGACCACATCGACTGGCTCCTCGATCGGCGGCAGTACGCCCAGGCACTGTCCGAGATAGAGGCGATGGGGAGCAAGCAAGCGGCTCTGCTCGGATACGACTCAGCCGACATTGGCCGCAACTACCTCAAATATCTGGTCGAGGTGGGCAACTTTCTCCGCGCCGCGCGCGTCGCGGGCCGCATCCTCGGCCGCAACGCGAAAGCGTGGGAGGATTGGGTGTTTTTGTTTGTTGAACGGGGGGAATTCCAGTCCATCATCCCATTCATCCCGATCGAGGACCCGACGCTTAGCAACATTGTCTACGACATGGTGCTCGCCCACTACCTTCATATCGGCTCGGAAAAGTTGCTGGAGACCGTTCAGGCATGGCCCCCAAACATTTACAGCACTCAAGCGGTCGTCCGTGCCATTGAAGATAAGCTCCAGCACGAGCCATCTTCGCAGCTGCTCATGGAAAGTATTGCCGTCATCTTGATCGCAAACCGGCAGCCAGGGAAAGCGCTGCCGTACTACCTTCGTCTGCGCAAGCCAGATGTGTTCAAACTCATCCTCGAACACAACCTGTTCAGCGATGTGCGGGATCAGGCATTGTCCTTGATCGAATTCGACGAGGACATTTCGGCAGATGCAGGTCCCAACGGCGCCAGAACTGCCATCCAGATGCTAGTGGATCACAAATTTTCCATCCCGATTCATCGTGTTGTGCCGCAGCTCGAATCCAGCCCACAACACCTGCATCTTTATCTCGACGCACTTTTTCGCCAAGATCCGCAGTCTGTTACAGAATTTTCTGACCAGCAGGTTTCGCTGTACGCGGAATACCAGCCCGAGGCTCTCATGCCATACCTTCGTGCGATGAGCAGCTACTACGACATTGAAAAGGTGAGTTGCCCAAGAATAAGCGGCCAACGCTCGGCTAACCCCGTCGATTGCCCAGGCGTATCAAGTTTGCAAGGCCAAGGATCTAGTTCCGGAAATGGTGTTCCTGCTCGGCCGTGTGGGCGACAATAAGCGCGCACTCAATCTGATCATCGAGCGACTTGCCGACGTTGAACGGGTATGCTTTGGGCGAAGCTGTTGGTGGCTGCGAGCATCCTACTCATGCTGTGTGTTTTGCAGGCGATCGACTTTGCTAAAGAGCAAAATGATGACGATCTCTGGGAGGATTTACTAAAGTATTCCGAGACGCGGCCAGGTAAGCAACGCGCGAGCGCTGGTTGAGAGCAGCATGGGCTGAGATTCCCCTCCCCCTCGGCCTTCTCTGCAGCGTTCATACGGGGTCTGCTGGAAAACGTCGGCGCTGAGATTGATCCTTTGCGATTGATCCGCCGCATCAAGGACGGGCTCGAGATTCCCGGTCTGAAGCCGGCACTCATTAAGATCCTTCAAGAGTTCAATCTGCAGCTGTCCTTACTAGATGGATGCGCTGCCATCTTGTACCACGACGGCGAGGCGTTCTCCCAAGAGCTCAGGCGGGCACAACGGCATGGGATGCATGGGCATGTCGAAGCACCCTGCAGCAAATGCGGGCGTGACCTATACAACATGCCGGCCATCCAAGAGAACAACCTCCGCCTCGAGCTGCCGTCGGTCTTTTGTTTCTGCCGGCACGTATTCCATTTAACATGCCTTGTGGCTCCAGTAAAAGTGCCAAAGCGACAGCAACAGGATCTTCCGGCACTTCCTCTGTCCGTCACTCAGGCTGGGTCCAACTTTGACCAAATTCTCGGACCAGAGCGACGCAAGCAAGCCAGAAAGTTCGCATATGAATCAAAACTCAAGTACGAGACCTGCTTGCGCGCTGTCCTCCGAAAGGGCTGCCCTTTGTGTGCTCAGCAAAAGCATGTATCATAGTGCGTACGTGGAAAGACAGCGAGCACCCATTTCTTCGCAGCATTCCCGCGTTCCTCACGCCAGAAAGGGATGATGATCCGGAAAAGCTGCCCTGCTCCTCGCGTTCGGAACCAATATTACACGACTTTGGTCGAAGCGGTAGAAAAGCTAACCCCTGCTAGGAAGGCCCGCAAGCCTCTCCAGGTGGCTCGTGTACACTCCAACATCGGAAGGGATAAGAGGCCGAACGTTGCGCTGTGCTAGGTAGAGAGTCCTTAATCGGCAAGCATGGTGCGATTGAAAGGCTGCTGCAAGCCATCGGAAAGGCCGTCCACGCCGGATATCCCGTTCCAGGCCTGCGCAAAGTGATAGTCCAAGTCGGTTACAACAGCGGCATCATGATGCAGACGATGCATAAAGACGGTGCAGACCGTGTAGGACAAGGGCTTTGCAACGCCTTTCTTTCTTTGCTGGGTGAAGGCTGTTCGTCATTTGTTCGGAGTGCCGCGAGGTGGGGCATCCCAAAGTCCTGCTCTCGTACCAGAAAGTGAGGCTCGAGCATAGAGGTGTCCAAAGGGATTGCAGTATAAATGGTCAGCTGATTCGCAACTGAAGGTTAGCTTCACTTACACAATTGGCACACGAGCCGAATAGCCTGCCTGCCTAGATAAGTATGGAGTTCTCGCATTCCCAATATATTCCTCGACAGAATGTTGGCAGCATGTGGACTTATCTCTCGGTCTTACACCGTCGGGCGCATCGATCGCCGCGGTGTCCGCTGGCGGTGCAGAGGCACAGTCGCTGCTCTGCGCTGACTGTCGACGAGCGGAAGAAGCGTGCGTCGGAAATGTTCAAGCTTTGATGCGAGGGAGGCCAAGCTCTGCAAATTAGAGTTTCCCTAGGCCCGATTCAGTCCCGCTCGAGGGGCTGCAAAATGCTTCGCCGGACCTTCGCGGTTAAGTCAAGCATTCAGATGGGAGGAGAGCATGCGTGTGCTGCGCTAAAGCCTGGATACAGCTCAGCTGGGTCGGTCCCTGTCTGGATACAGCTGCCAAACACATCAACTATGAACTATCGAGCATTTCCGCCTGCATGGTCTCGACATGAACGACCCAGCATCAGCACAATGATGCGGCCAGGCATGCCGAGCAAAGTGGAATGCACGAGTACCAGCCAGTTTGCAATCGCACAGGAAATTGCCGCAAAAGAGAGTGGCAAGGCCACGAGGTTCGTAGTCAGGCAAAACTGGATCAAGTTACCCAGTGGAAGGAGTCTATCAGATGCATCATCCACTCGCAATCATACTCGGCGGGGAGCGGATTTAGGGCTGGGGGGAAGGGATTAGGTGAGGCAGGCATCGTGCAAGGTGGTGGGTGTGGTGTGGTATGGGGGGATGTTGGATCTCGTGAATAGGTATGAGTCAGAGTTGCTTTGATGGGCGATGGGCATGTTCAGCTTGGTGCATTGGGGCATGCGATGCATTAATGTTTTGAATAATGCACATATGATTAGGGGTAGGGGACTGTTGAGACTTGCAAACAGGCTTATACGTTATCGAGGGGATGATAACGTTCAGCAAAACATCCGAAATTTAACGACGTCAGGAACAGAATGGCCTGGGGCGCACCCCGGATGGCGGTACCGGCACTAGCTTTACGAGCTACAGGGAGCTCGTTCGAAGCAAGCTGACCATCGTGCTCTAGGAGAAGGAAATGCACATGCAGACTGGTCTTTTGGAAATTCGACCGAAACTGTTAACGATACCATGAAAAAGTCACACGAGCCAAAGCACTTAACCAAGGTGTAGGGCCTTCTGTATGATCAATGGGTGCCATTCTTCTCTTTTTCCACGTATCGATGGTGACAGCAACTGGTGCACATGCCCCACTGCAAAAAGTAGACGTTCCTTTTTCATCCACTTCAATCGAAATTGTGCGCGTCACACTTCCCCGGATTAACTGACGCCTGACATGAGCCAGCTCATTGCTTGAAGTAGTACTATATAAACCCTTTAAGAGTGTGGATTGGCCAGTTTCTCGCACCTTTTAACACCCACTAAAGCAGGTGACATTTACAAGTGGTTAGCGGCTAGACTCTAGACAAAACTCTGGTTTCAACAGACGAGTCGTGCTACTGCAAAGTTCCATCGCTCGGAAGGGCATGGACACCAAATAGCGCCACAACTGCAGCTTACGTTCTTGATGCTGATCAAGCTCCCTCATCATGAGCAACACTTTTACCGCTACTGCTACATCCTTACGAGGAATGCTACACGCTATGAATCCAAGACACTCAGCAGCCGTAGCCTGGCCGTCCCCAACATCCAGCATTGATCTTCGCCTCATTCTGTTCACTCTAATCCTATCTTTGTTCAAAGAAATCTGTCCAGACTTTCAAACATCCTTGTCATCAAAACCAAAACACATTCATTCCAGA